AAAAGAAAAGAAAAAAAAAAGAAAAAAAGCCCCCTCCAATATGGATGCCTTCCCTTAAATTTCATTTACCAACTCCTGCAGTGTCTTTTCCAGAGCTTGGTGGTCTGCTGAGTTTTCCCTCATGCAGGACCTACTTCTTTACAAATTTCTGAGCCAGACATTTCTGGCTTGATATTTAATATCTTTCATACTCTCCTTCTATATTTGCATTCTGCCTGTCTGGTCAAAACAGCAAAGCTCTTCACAAACCACTCTAGTGACTAAAGTCACCTTTTTCAGGTCCTCAGCTTCTCCCAAAATAGTGAGAAAGAGCAGTGCATAAACTGCTTTCCTCTTCCTGCCGCCTGGAGGGCCCCACAGTCTTGCTCACATGGCCCGTGGGGGAGATAAGCAATAACTGTTGATGTGTGCTTTTGTTTAAGAAAACCGGGCTGAACTATGCCTAAGAAAAATGACGCAGATTTTAATTTTTTTATTTTTATTTTTTTGGTGTACAAAAATTCCATTATTTCTAAACCACAGGAACCAGAGCCACATCTGGCAAGGGAAATAAAGCTGGAGATGTAAGGAAAGGATAGATTAGGAGAAGCCTTGAAAACAGGCAGCTGAGTTTGGATTTGATGTGGTGGGAAATAAAGATCCCTTAAGGGTTTCTGAGCATGGGAGTGATGTGATGAAAACAGTGATTAAAGATGATGAAATACAAGCAGGACAAACAGTCCCTCCCTTCAGAGTCTGAGAGGAGGCAGTGATCCAGGCTCAGGGGAGGTGGAGAAGGCAAGGGTATTTATTAGAAAAGAGGTTCATGATCCCATACAAATTAATTAACATGTGCACACCCCAAGTTACTACCTGTCTTTTGGTGGTTTTTTTTTTTTATGCTTTTACTATATTGGGAGGGCAAAAATAAACTCAGGAGGAAGCAAATCAAATATTTTCATTAAAATGATAATAAAATGTCATCCTTACGAATATAGAGGTTTAACTGAGTACCCCACTGAGCAAATGAGTTTCATTGCAAGCATGTGGAACAGTGTGCTGGGCTGAAATGGATTTCAGAAAAATTCATATTAGATCCTTATTCACAGAATTAAACAAACACAATGAACATGAAGTAGTTTTTTAAAGCAGCCTCCTGCAGAGGAAGGCCATATGACACAGCAGAAATGCTTGCCCTCAAAGCGGCAACTACTGCCCAAGAGTAAGCCTAACTCCTCACCTTCGAGGATGCAGAAAGCATCCCATCCTAGTCACGCTCTCCAGCGGCAGGAAGAGCGCGTCAACTATCATAAACAAACACTGTTTGCCTAGCTCCTACTCAGGAAACTGTATACCATAAGCCATCAAACTCTTTAACTCTGGCTGCAATTTTTAATGATCCAGAGACTTAAAAATTATTTCCATTTGTTTAGATCTGAAAACAGCCTTCGAGGACATCTAAATTCATCATTTAAGAATATTTTTAACTATACAACCCTTTTTTCAAATACATCTAATGGAAACAGAATGGATCAATATTAAAATGGGCTCCTTGGGCAGGGACTATGGTAAAAGACCCAGATCTCCATCTACTCATTTTCTCCCATTCCCTGTGTCTACCTCTACCTTGCAACTTACCCACACTGTGGCAGACCCCAGAACACTCCCCAGGGCTACAGAGAAAGGAGTCTGCAAAATACTGAAGGGTCTACCACCTCTTGTGTGTGCGGCTTCTTGTGACAGGTGAAAAAACTGAAACCCAGAAAGCTTAACACAGGACTTCCATTTCCAGCCATATGGCAAACTAAAGAACCTGGAAAACCTTCATCTAGAAATATGTGGAATGTTAGCTAAATACAAATATTCACTTAAATGCATAAAATGAACTCATGTAGAAAAACTTATCAGTTTGAAAATGGGCACAATCTGTGACCCAGCAGGTCCATGTCTATGTATGTATCCCAAAACAGTGTTTTTCAACTTGCCAGTGGAGATGCATCTCTGGGTTATAAAAGTACTTTCCTAAATTCCATAAAATCAATTTCCTAAATTACATACGGTGGTGTATGAAATAGTTCAGGTTAAACTGAATTAGAGGTTAAGTACAGTGGCTCACACCTATAATCCCAGCATTTTGGAAGGCTGAGGCATGTGGACTGCTTAAGTGCAGGAGTTTGAGACCAGCCTGGGCAATGTGGTGAAATCCCACAATTAAAAAACAAAACAACAACAACAACAAAAATTAGCTGGGTGTGGTGGCGCACACTGGTAATCCCAGCTACTCAGGAGGCTGTAGTGGGAGGATTGCTTGAGTCCTGGAGATGGAGTCTTCAGTGAGCCATGATTGCACCACTGCACTCCAGCCTGGGTGACAGAGCAAGACACTGTCTCAAAAACAAATAAATAAATAGTCCCAGTGCAGTGGCTGACACCTCTTTGGGAGACCAAGGCAGGAGGATCACTTATGGTCACGAGTTCAAGACCAGACTAGCCAACATGGTAAAATCCCATCTCTACTAAAAACACAAAAATTAGCTGGGCGTGGTGGCACATGCCTGTAATCCCAGTTACTCAGGAGGCTGAGGTAGGAGAACGGCTTGAACCGGGAGGCGGAGGTTACAGTGAGCTGATTGCCCCACTGCATTCCAGCCTGAGCAACAGAGAGAGACTCCATCTCAGAATAAAATAAAATAAATAAACAAAATTAGAATTAAGTAGAAAATAAATGTAAATATTCTGAGAAACTTTTGTTCCATATATGCATACACATACATAAATGTAGCACAGGCATGCGCTGGGTTTCCAGGTAGCTATGTGGACAAAACATTTTGAAAAATGCTATTGTAGAGAAGCTTTTGCATGTTAGGACAAGGAAATGTACAAGAACAATCATTGAAGCATTGTTCATAATGGTGAAAAATTAGAAGCAATCTAAGTGTTCACCAACAGAAAACAGACAACCATATAGTGGTCTGTTCCTGAAACAAAGCAGTTCAAATGAATGAACTAGAGCTAAATTGTTGAAATCGAATGTTAAATTAGATAACAAGCAAGTGGTAGAATATGTGTGGTATGTTTCCATTTATTTAAAATTTTTAAACATGCAAAATGACAGTACATATTGTGGAAAGATGCATGTGCATGCAAAAAAAGACTGAAAGCATGTGCGTGCAAGATAGTGTTTATCTCCGGGATGGAAGAAAAAGAAAGGGAATTAAGATGTCTGCAAAGAACTTTATGTCTAAAGCAAACCCATCAAAATGTTAGGATTGCCTGAGACTGGGTGGTAGGTCACAGAGTTTTGTGATTTCATTCTACTTTTTTTTGTTGATTAACTTCCTGTGTCACCTGTGTCCATGACCCACGTGAGTTCATTTTACACATTGGCACATTTGACATTTTTTAAAGTCACTCACCTGCGGCCAGAGAGCTGATTGGCAGAGTATTCTGGTCTAAGCTGAGGGTGGGATCCTAACTGATTCTCAGTCTTGTCTTCCTTCCGCATGAGTCTCAGTTCATGATCTGTTTGCAAATGAAAGGATTTGCATCATTTGGGCCTCATCTTGGTAATTTATTTTTACCTGAGAGATGAGGCTCCCCACAGTCCACCGAGGCCACATCTGCTCTGGCAAGAAAGAGCACAAAGCACATTTGCTTTGTGAAGGCTGAGCTGTTACTTCACAGTTTGTTACTTGGCTCTGTTTCCCAACTTCACTTTGCATTGCAACAAAATGCTAAGCCACTGAAAGGTCAGTGGAAAGATGATCTAAACATGCCAAAAATATCAGCAGAGAGAGAAAGAAACACAGAGGGGAGGGAAGGGAGGAAAAAACAGCTTTGAAAGGGAAACAGACTAACACAAAAAGCCATCAAATTAAAATCAGAATATTGCTGAGAAACCACACGACAAGCATCAGGTGGGTTTTAGATGATGGGAGTAACTGGAAATAGCAGCATTTTTATAGCCTTTGATCACAGATACACAAACCGACAGGAGGAAGTTTGTTAAGGTTTGTTTTAGTCTATCTGAGGACAAAAACAAGACAAATGATACCTTGGCAACAACTGGAGAATCATAACAAGAGAGATTTATGGGGCTTTGGAAAAGTTCAGGGCAATGGTTTTTATCATTGGCTCCTTTACACTCTTTGAGTTATATAAAAGGCTCTTATTTCTGTTCCTTCTTTTAGACTAAATAAATACATAATCATAACATCCAGGTCAGCTTTAGCTTTTCAAGTGGGTGAGTTAAAGCCTTCTGCTTTGTTGACAGGGGTGGGGTCAGAGGGGTGATACTGGCAGAAAATGAAGACAAGCCTTGTAGTATAAGGTCCAGAGCAATCATTCCCCAGGGTTAAGAAATAAACTGTATGTGATTCTATCTTTTGGACACCTCTTACCCTGGCATGCCCACTGTGTCCATGAACTATGAACATATTCCTTTTGTACTTCTGGTGAAAACTCAGCTCTGTGACAGAATTCCTTGTTTCAAGAGCAAAAGCAGCAGCAACAATTAATATTTATTGAGCACTTTACTCTCCTAAGTTTTTTAAATTTTTTTAACCTCATTTAGTCTTCACCTTCTCAGGAAGGTACTATAACTAGCCCCTTTTATAGATGGAAAAACTGAGACATAGGAAGTTTAAATAATGTAGCTCAGGTCATCTAAAGCGACAGAATCAGAATTGGAGTAGCCACTGGATTCTAACAGCTTGAGCTTTTCAGAGCCACACCGTGCCTGGGAGTTGGTATTTAAGACAAGGAGGAGCAGCTGCTGAGATGACAGAACTGTTATGTTAGCAGCCGTGAGGCCCCTGCTCCAGCTACGGTGGTTCCAAGAGGGAAGTGTTTACATGCCAATGAAGGTGAGGGTACTGTCACTAAAAATCAGAATCCTTTCTTTAGATTTTCTAGTAATCCACAATATCTGCTTCCCGAATAAAGCAGAGACTTTTCAGGGCTATATATCTTGCCCTAAGTTATAGCTAATTTCCTGCTGTGCTCTCAAAGTGGAGAAGGACTTGGAAATGCTATTGAATAAGAGGCAGAAGATTGAAGCTTGAGTTCAGGATTGCCACCTACTAACTGAATGGACTTAACCTTTCTGGGCCTCGTTTTCCTTATGTGTAAAATGAGAAAAATAATGCCCACTACACTGGATGGTGAGAACCAAACCACACAGAGGCATGCAGAGGCATGGAGAACTTTGATGGCACACATCGTTGACATGCAAGGTTTTTTTTTTCTTTGTTCTGTAAGTCAAAGAGCACATTACCACCAAATTCTAACACCTATTACAGGGACATGGGAATCCCAAAGAGCCTTCCTTTGTAGTATTATTATTAACCTTGGTCAGGTCATGCTCCTTTTTTTTTCCATCTGTAAGAGGTTGGATATTAATTACCAAGTTTGCCTCCAACTTTGGTATTTTGTAGTTTTGTGTTCCAGGTGTAGGAAAACCAAACCCAGGGTTTCTAAATGGCAGGTCGGGCACTTCTAGGCAACTTTACTCTTCTAAGGTGAGCAATCACATTCCTCACATCCCACCACTCACACAGGAAATCTAACATCTAATATAATTACAGTGATTCCAATGGCCGGCAAGTTCAAGTGTTAGAGAAAAAGAACACTGGATTGTCTACCAGAGCTGGGTGGATATTCCATTTCATAGGCAACTTGTTAGAAGGGGGTGGTAGCATGCTGACACTTTTGTTCTGGGTTAGGCCAGACCCATGAGGAATGCAGGACATTGTGAGCTTGGAAGGAGCTTCTAGCCTTGTGATCTCATATGACTGCTTCACTGATAAGTATCGCTTGAAACTGATGTCAGGTATGACCATCACAGGGCCCTAGCAGGCTTCCTGACTCTCTGCAAGGTCTCTACAGAGGGGACTCTCAAGCACTAGACAATGTCAACAGGGGCAGTCATAACTTGAAGGGGTAACTGGAGCGTGGTCCTGTGGCAGCTGTGTGCTAGCTGAATGCCCTCCCAGTCCCTCCAGAGCAGGGCTGACCGCATTCCAAGGGAAGCTAGTCCTCTGGAGAGCATAGGAGCTGCAGCTTGGAATAATGAATCCATTCTCAAAAGGAAAGAACATGAGGGAATCCGTCACTCTGGTCAGAGATTCCACTACATAGATCACTCCCAGTGGTCTGACCCCCTGAGCTCTGCCAGCCTCAAGCAGATGATGGGACAGTTCACCTATGCAACAAGAAGCCCAGTCAGCAGCATCGAGATTCATCATGATGCCAGTGGGCTGAGTTGCTGGCACGTTACCAGGAGATGAGCATGGGTAGCTTCCCCAGGCCCTGTGCAGTGGGCACCACTAACAGTTCATTCTGGGTCTTCAGCAGGCCATGTTCATGCCTGGCTTCACAATTCCCTCCTGAAACGCATGGTCCTCAGCCTTGCACAGCTGGCTGCCTTCTGCAACTCAAGTTTCAATTGAAATATCACTTTCCTAGGCCTTCCATGGACACAGCCTCCCCAATCCTCTATCATAACATGCTGTTTTCTATTACTTACAGACCTTTCCGATATCTGAAGTGATCCCATTCATTTGTTTTTCATGGTTATTTTCCATTTTCTCTTTTAGAATGTGAGCTCAGTCGGAGCCAAGATTCTCTCTGTCTTCACCAATCAATCCTCAGGACCTAGAAAAATGTCAAGCAGATAATGGGGAGTAGTAAAAATCAGTAGAATGAGTTAGTTAATTGTATCTAAGACAGGTGTGCAGTGGAAAGAACAGGGTTTCTCTCTCTATGCTCTAAAGCAGTGGTGAGATTTCAAGACTTTGGGGTTGCTTTGGTAGATACTTTTGAATAGCTAACCATGGTAGGTGCCATCTCCTCTTCTTCTGTCCCATAAAAGATCTGAGAATCATCCTCTGAGCCATAGGAATTGGCTCCTGGCACCCATGTTTTTACTATATAATTTTCTCATTTAGGAATGTTTTTGGTTGCAGGTAAAGACAACAATAACAACAACCTATTAAAGTACGCTGTGATGTCAACAAATAGGTTATCATTTTTCTCAAATAAGAACAAATCAGGAGGTATGCTGTCCAGTGTCAGTGCAGCAGTTCAACCATACAGGGACCTTGGCTGTTTCTCCTTTGTGCTTTCTATTCTTAGCACACAGCTTTCCTCTCCTACTGTCACATCATGATTACAAGACGGCTGCTGAATCACCAGGCATCACACCTGAATTCCAGAGAAGGAGAAAAAGCCATGCCCAGTAAATCTGTTGTTCCTTTTAATAAGAAAGACAAAAGCTTTCCCACAATCATATCCAACTAACTTCTATTTATATCTCCTACATTAGAACTAGGTCACAATGCCACCCTCAACCAATTACTGATAAAGAGAAATGGGATTACTATGACCGGTTTAGATGATCAAAATTCATCCTCTGGGACTGGAGTGGGATCTGTCTTCCCTGATATCAAGCTATTGTCACACTCTCCTGAACAAATTGGGATTCTAACAGGAAAAATGAGAGAGACACAGCTGATTAGCTATGCTACAGCTAAATGAACTAGAGTGGGCATTTGACCAGTAATTGGGGCTATACAATTCTCTTTGCCAAGAATTACAGCTGAGACACAGACACAGAGAAAAAGGCAGCCTGCAATGTCGGGCTTCTGAACCTTCCTGAGATGTGGTTGTTTAAATTCTTTAAATTTTATCTTAAGTGTCTTACCCTAAAAGTGTATTCTTTTCCTGAACCAAGTTCAAGGTGGTTTATTTTGTTTTAAAACAAAGGGTCTTTGTTATAGCAGCATCTAACTAGAAACATTCTGAGTGGCTCTATCAGGCCATGCTGCATGGTTTTACGGGGTCTCAGACAGTCATTCACACCTCCCTCAGGAACAGCAGGGCCCTTTGCAGCAAACCCTCTGCTCCTCCTGAGGTGATCGGAATACTGCAGACATTATGTCATCAGCCTGACAAAATCCCCAAATCCTCCTTTTCCTTTTCACCTTCAGACAGCATTTGTTGAGGTCCCAAGTGAACAGAGAGGCCTTTGGACACTAAAGGCCTGTGTGGTGCGGATGGATGGAGGTGGCACAACAGCATCCACACTAACTAGTGGAGCACTGGGACTGCTGAGACGTCACATCACAAGTTCATGATAAAGGCCAAAAACACACCAGACCTTCTGATCGTTAGCCCAGTGCTCTTTTTCTCTCCTAAAGCACCTGACTATCTAGATCAAACACAAATACATTCACACAGTCATCCACACCCCCACAATGAGGAAAGACTATAATGGGAAAAGCCTGCCCAGCCCAGCTTAGGATTCCCTTCCTGTTAAAAGCCACAAGGAATGTTTGGGGGCAGATGATAAGGATTACCACTCACCTGTTCTATATGGACCTCTCCACAGATCTCTTGCTCTGTCATCTCTAAACCTGATCTAAATTCTTTGTTAATGTATATCTTTTCCCAACTTCTGCAAAATTTAGACAGGGTTTCTCAAAATGTGTTGCTTGCAGCTTACGGGTGTTACATGAACAAATGGTTCTGTGATCAGATAACTTTTGGAAACACCTGGTTAAAGAAAGTTAAATGGCTTTTTCATTGCCAGACATTACAAAGCTGTCAGTACTCTGATATGTGTGATGAGTATCTAAGAAAGGGATGCAGTATGTGGCATTTTCCAAAGGTGTTTGATCACTTAATCAAGTTTTTTTCTTGACATATATGAAAGGCTGATCATCTAAGGGATGGGCTTTGGGAGACACTGCTGGTGAGGAGGATTGCAGGTGTACATCCTAAAACCTACTACCTCTAAGCACCAAGAGACATAGTCTGTGACTTGGTTTAGTAGGGAAGGCCCAAACTTAGGTATACCCTAGTAAATACTGCTAGAGAGTTAGAACTGCCACTTAGCTCACAGCGCGTGAGTCCTGCATTACAGCTGCTACGCGGGGTAGAAGCACATTGCGAGAGTATACTGTTTTCTTGGACTAATCATGTTATTTCTCTCAGCATTAGGTTCCCCTCCTTGAAAATAAGCATTTTAGGCCATGTGAGAATGGCAAGAATGAAGTCATTACTGGAGAGTTTAATACCCTGTTATTTTCCTTCTGTTCCAACCTTTAATCCACAAAGCTCTGGTTGATGTGAGGGTGACAGGCTACATTGAACTCAGTCACCTGACATGAATTAAAAACTTATTTATTTTGTCTAGATTCACCTTCCTGAAAAGACCACTTGGTACAACATAAAAATAGCCTCCCTACCTGTATGCAGACATATCCCTAAATATCTGGCACTGATTCCATTGCCTCCTAAACTTTATATGCTTCAAGTATCCCTGAACGACAACATAATTTCAGGAGAATTAAATGCCTGGGTTGACAACGGTCCTGCCAAAGCTTCATCCATAGGACCTCCAGAAAGGAAAGCTCCTCTCCCTGGAAGACTGTTTTTCAGGGGTAGAGAAAGTCAAGTCAAAGAAGAGAATAACTGAGCAAACTCATTTATCATCACAATTTAATAATATAAACTGTATTCATTAAATAAGTCTGAGAGAATTTCACGTCTAACTCTAAAGGCTCAACATTAATAGCCATGTGATAATAAAAAAAATTCACTGTTTATCTTCATCCCCAGAATGAGTATGTTCAGGTTATAGTAACAAGGATCATAACTTCTCTAAATTTACTTTGGCCTTATATTCCCCTAAATGGAATCGTTTGATGTGTCTGAGAAAAGTTGATGTTTTAACCACACGCTTGTCTCTTAGGTCTGTGAAAGAGGGAATGGTCTCTACAGTAACGGGAACAAGAATATTAAAAGGCACAGTCATTTAACAGGAAAAAAAGGAACAAGAGCCTCAGAGGACCAAGATTCTAGTCAGTTTCCAGACAGTTGATGTGCTTAGGGGTTGGACTGCGTCCACCATAAAATTCATATGTTGAAGTCCTAACCCTCAGTACTCAGAATGTGATCTTTGAAAGAGAAGGTCTTTACGGGGGCAATCAAGTTGAAATAAGGTTATTAGAGTAAACCCTAATCCAATATGACTGGTGTCCTTCTAAGAAGAGGAAATTTGAATACAAACATGCAAAGAGGGAGGATAATGTGAAGAGACACAGAGAGAAGATGGCCATCTACAAGCCAAAGAGAGAGGCCTGGAACACACCCTTTCCTCACAGCCCTCAGAAGGAACCCCTGTGCCAACCCCTTGACCTGTGGATGCTCCGTCTCCAGAACTGTAAAACAGTAAAGTCCTGTTGCTTAAGTCACCTAGTTTGTGATACTTTGTTGTGGCAACCCTGACAAACTAATACAGCTGTGTTCCTGGGTAAGTCTTTTAATATCTCAGGGTCTCAGTCTCCTCATCTATAGCATTAGTGGGTAGATGGTCTTTGAAATTGCTTTTATCTATAAAGGTTAGTGATCAACTATGCAGGCAGCCTCTCTCCAATTCTCTTGAGATGTACACGAGTACCAACTTCTGAGAAAAGCTTTCCGTCTAATGTACAGATCAGCGGATTATAGACGGGTTGAAACCAGCTTTGATTATCCCATCTAGCCACCCAAATTTATATTTCAGTAATGACTTTAGTAAGCAAAATAAGAAGGAAAGGAGGCTCATAGTCTCCTGTGAAAGGCTACAAACTCACAGTTCATTTCTTTTTAAAAGAAATTCACCATCTGGAAAAACTGACTTCTAATAGATGCTAATGGAGGTGCTAGGGTGGGTTCAGGCAAAAAGATCAATAACAAATGTAAATTTCATGATGTGGTTCTCCACCTCTGTCAAGCAAACAATAAAAGCACGCATTTTGTGCTCTCTTCACAACTCGTTTCTGGGCTGTCTCTCACTCAAATGTTTTTCATGAAAGGAAACATGTTTTAGGCAAAACGGTTAAACTTCTGAGTGTTACTATCCTGTTCCATCTCACCAATAAAACAGTTAATAACAAAGACTTTTTGCAACATTTATCAACCTCTCATCAGCATGTATCATCTTGGTAAAATCCCAAACTATTAATGCATCTTCAAAGCCTAGAATACAGTATTAATGTCAGAATCATAATGGGTAAGAGGAACATTTTGGCAACAAAAATTGTAATTCTAAATGCTATAAAACAGAACTAATGTTCTAGCTCCCCTTCTCTGTACCTTATTGAATATATACTTTCCTGCCAAAGGAAACAGGAAGATAAACGTCCTACTCCATAATACAATTTTATCATTACAAACCAGGGTCACCTTCTTAAGTAGCTGAACAGCTGGCTTAGCATCAAATATACTAAAACAAAACTCAACATACTTTGCAAGCATACATCCAACATTTAAATGGATAATGCTTGTATCAGTCAGGATCTCAGCGAGACAGAACACTCATCTTAGGATAATTCAAAGAAGGTTTATTTAATAAGAAACTTTTTACAAGGGTGTATACAGGATGTAATAGAACCACAAGGGTTTGCAGGCAAAAACTAAAGATTAGAAGCTGAAGTGCTTACACCACCCTTATGCATAAGGAGACAAGGAGGAGTTGCCAGACTGGGAAGGAGAAAGTCATGTTGAGAGGACTGCCTAGAAAGGAGATATCGCCCCAGGTGGGCTTCCAAGGAGTGAGTGAGGTGAATCAATGCCCTGAGTTCACTTACCTGACTCCCTTCAATTTCCTCCCAGGACACCCCATTGATCAAACCCAACTATAGACAGAAAGAAGAATGTCCATTACTGTGTTCTATGAGGGTCAGGGGGAGTAGATTTGGAGGGCGTGATAGGACAATATACAGCAGAGTGCCAAATAAACCCAACAAACTCATTGGCATACTGTTTGTAAATTTTGAGAGTAGAAAGATGTCTACTCCTGTTCACCATTTTAATCCCAGCTATGTCATTCCAATACCAACAAATTATGTGATTCATCCTCCAGTGGAGGGTGTCCACGTTCTAGGCATCTTGAACAAAGCACTGGTCAAAATGCATAAAGCAAGGAAGGAATGAAGTAATTTATTAAAAATGAAAGTACACTCCACAGTGTGGGAGCTGGCCTGAGCATAGGTGCTCAAAGGCCCTGTTGCAGAATTTTTGGGAGTTTAAATACCCTCCAGAAGATTCCACTGGTTACTTGGTGTATGCCCTACATAAATGGAGAGATGAAGTAAAGTGACAAAGTCATTTACTCAGCGTACATCCTATGGAGAGGGTATTTCCTGGCATAGCTAAAGTGTGAATTGGCCTTATGTTTCCTGCTACCAGACCCCATTTTCCTGCCTCACTCTGAAGCCAACTGGGTGGCAACAATTCAATTTGATTCAGACACTAGCTACTCTGAGTTAGTCTAGACCCCACACAGTAAGGGTTCGGTTCCATAAGAAGCCCTCTCTTTAGATGCCAGCTGTACATGATGTGTCTAGGCTACCTGCACTTCTGCCCAGTCTACCACAAATTTGGGGGTTTCTACAACTTCTCCCCAGGTTCAATAGTTTGCTAGAATGACTGACAGAGCTCAGAAAAGCTCTCTACTTTCAATTATACTTTTATCATAAAGGATACAATTCAGGAACATCCAAATGGAAGTGATGCATAGGGCAAGGTATTGGGGCAGGGAGGGGACACAGCTCTTCCATGCCCTTTCTGGGTAAGCGCCCTCCCATTATGTCAATGTACTCACCAACCAGGAGGCTCCCTTAGCCTTATTGCTTCAGAGTTTTTACGGAACCATCATTACCACGTAGACACAATTTACTAAATCATTGGCCATTGGTGATTGAACTCAACCTCCAGCCCCTCTCCCCTGTCTGGAGTGGGGAAGAAGGCAGTGCAGAGCTGACAATTCTAACCCTCTAATCAGGTGGTTGGCACCTCTGGTGACCAACCCTTATCCTGAAGCTATCTTAGCACTGCCCTATCTAGTCACCTCATTAGCATGCAAAAGACACTTTATCACTCAGGAATTTCCAAAGGTTTTAGGAGCTCTGTGCCAGAAACTGGGACAAAGACCAAATATATATTTTTTCTCATGTTACACCAACACATTATATTACATAGGGCCTGGCTTGAACAGGTCCTTTAGGAGAACGGTTTTAGCCCTTCTCACACACTCATAGACCACCTCTCTGTGGAAGTGGGGTGCCTTTCACCCTGAGCAACAATACTAAATGGATTCCTGAATTTCTTCTGAGTGTCCTCTCTGGCTAATGCATCCTCTGTGCATGAGACGCGTGCTTTGATCAGTAAGCACACATATCAACACTTCAGGCACTGACCAAAAAAATGCAGCCAAGAATAGATTGTGATATACAGCTTGCAAAAGTTTGCTGGAGACTCTTGATACCGGAAAAAACTGCCTAAAGCCATTGTTCTAAAGCCAGTTGATCATCCTAAATAACCAGGTAGGGAGGGGTAGACAGGTGGGTCACTGGAAGGAAAGATAGCAAGAGAGAATGGGGTGGATGTCTAGGCCCCACTAAAGGGAGGGACTTTTAAAAGCCACACCCTTTCCCCCTCCCCCAATCATACAGCAGTAAAAGGTAAATCAATTATCCTTTCCATATCTCTAAACTATACTTAACCTGGATTAGGTACATTAAAATAACATGGAGAATCTTTTCCAAATATTCTGAACCTCCCCTCCCCCCTTTACCCCACCTCTTCTTCAGTTAAGATCCACTGAGCTCTACTTCTCTATTATACTCAGCTACTAAAAAGAAATACATTTGGGTCACATATCTTAATTCCCTGCTGACATACTCTAATGGAATTAATATTTAACAATACACACTTGACTTAGATCAGAAATGTCTTACAGGAGTCACCTATGTGAATTTTACATTGTTTTATCTTCTGGAAAATCATACTTTCAGTCATCTGACACATTATCCCACATCCATTACATAAACCCTTCACAAAAATTCCATGTCAGAAGAGAGATGGTCCCCCCAGCAGAACATGTCTGTGCCTTTCTAACAGACAATCGTAATGACAGAATGCAAAGCAGTGCCCCAGTGCCTCAGCTGCTAGGAAACAAGCCTTTTTTTTAGAAATAACTGTGCATATTTATAAGGATCCTTCAAAATGGAGCCTTCTAGGACAATGCTGTCCAACAGAACTTCCTGTGATGATGGAAATGTCCTGTACCCACACCGTCCAATTCAGTAGCCAGTAGTCACATGGCTAGTGGACACTTACAATGTGACTAGTGCCACTGAAGAATAAAAATAAAATTTTAAATTTTATTTAATGTCAACTAATTTAAACAGCAGCATGTGGCTAGTAGCTACACTGAACAGCATGATTGTAAGGTTACTTCTTTTTTTCAGACTTTGCAGTTGGTACTTACACAGAAGCAAAACAATGCAAAATTTTGATGGTAGTTTCAATTTAGGTGCAAATATTATGTTTAAATTATAAGACTGTCATTATCTTTCAGTAATACGGTTTGAAATGATTTGCACTTAACCGGCCTTGAATACAGAAGCTTAGCTGCTCCCAACAAAGAGGAGAAGTCTCACATCCTCTCTCTGGGGCAGACTTATTTAACAGGTTATGCCTCTGGCCTGGGCTGATGACAGAATTGCTGACCTTCTGCTGAACAGTGCCACCGCCATACCCCACCTGAGAGACCGGGGGGTATAACAAGAATAAATGTTATAAATGATAATAACATTTATTCTCCCCTGAGCTAGGGAGGGACCCATCAACATTCGAAACCTACCTGGTAGAAGGAGGGCAGAAGGTGGCTTTAAAGCTTGCTTTGTTTAATTCACACATGGTGAATGTGCTCTCTGTTTAAGGAAGAGCCCAGTGGGTTTGCAGATTTCTCAACTTGGACACTATTGACATTTGGATCTGATAATCCAATTGTTGGGGGCTGAATGGTATTTTATAGGATGTTTAGCAGCATCACTGGCTTCTACTTATTAGATTCCATAGCATCCCCCATCCCTCCCAGTAGCAGTATTTGAATATTTCCGCAGGAAACTGTCAAATGTCCTCTGGGGGGCAAAATCACCCTGGATTGAGAACCACTGACCTAAACAACAAGGTTTTAGGCTGAGGACAACTTAAGAAAGGAGATCCGATCTCACTTAGTTTTTCTGGTTTGCTTTATTATAATTTTTTAAAATCTCCAGTACCTAGCAGAAGCCTGATGCATGATATGCATTCAAGTAAATATTGCTTAGTTGAATGAATAAAAAGCCACTGTTAACATATTTTTAACCTTTAAAATATCTACTTCAGTGCCGCCATATTGTAACACGCAATCAACAAGTGTTTTCTGGTATGTTAATATTCTCACAGGTGTTAACAAAAAGCAAGAATTCCTACCTAATGACTATTTGAGGAAGAAAAATGATAGGAAAAATAAATCTTTTGCATGCCTTAATGTGCATAAAGCCATCTTCCTGACCTGTTAGGATTTTAAGTTAATAGTGTAAGTCTAAAAATATAGTCTTACCATTTCCAAAGGAAGTGCCATAATTGCAAGTGAAAAAGCAAGGCTCCTTGACCTCTCCACCTCCTCTCTTCACCAAAGTTCATCTGGGTGCTGGGTGAGTAAAACTCCTTTCTCACTGACTGTGGGAGCCAATCTTCTCCAGCACCAGATACAATCTCCATCAGCCCAGGCTGCCAGCTTCCCTGCAGGAGAAAAATAGATGGCTTGGTTCAGTTTGTGGTTCCTGAACCTTTACGGTTGATTTGCCAGCAGGTAATGCTTTTATCTCATTTGTCACAATCAAATTCTGCAGAATAAATCTACTACCTAATTAAAACTAAACGCTTTGCACCTAAAATTTAGGAGATGTCTCATCTCCAAGTATATATGGGATAGCATGGCAGAGAGAAAATAAAGGCATTTCCACCACGTACAGATTTAAACCGACAATATATTTAGCATAATCTGCCCTTCACTGTCTCTTTACCTAAACTCTTTATGGCATTTTAAGCTTCTTGGACAAGATTTTCTATTTAATGAGAAATATCACTAAGTTCCATATCACTGGTTGTACATTTAAAGAACTGCTGCATTCAAACAACCAAAATCATTAAGGCACACTGCTATTTTTATCAGGGATAAGGTCAGAGCATTTATTATAATTAAACAAAAGAGCAGAAGGAAGAAAGAATAGTGGTTTGCTGGAGACAAATTAGAACCACCTGGGAGGTGTTTAAAAGTCCCAAGGGTCAGGACACACCTCAGATCAAGTAAATCAGTATTTCTGGGGTGGTACTCAGTCATT